AAAAAAAAGAGGGGTGGGGGGGACATCCTTTTTTTTATTACTGTCCCTTGGCCTCCAACTCTAATCTATGTTTATTTGCCCCCAGTCTGGGTTTATTTGCTCCCAGTCTAGGTTTACTTCTATTTTTCTCTTAAGTTATAAAAATCCAACTTCTTTAAGAGGAAATATACAATCAGCCACTTGCCTTTCTCTATAACATCTCTTAAGCTTTTACGTTTCATTTGAGTTTTCATTACAAATGGAAAGCCACCTGCTTTTATGTGGGTTACCAACTAGCCTCTTAATTGTCCTGCCTTCCTTAAGTACCTCAAAATCTACTCTATTCCACCCACAACTTCCACATGAAACATCACAGAGCTCTGCTTTTATTATGCCACGTGCAGTAGTAGAGAGTCCTAGATTTGTAACCAAGAGACTCGGAGTCTGGCCCAATTAACTCTGCAGCTAACTCAGTCTGTGACAAGCCATGTTATTAACCTCAGTTTCTTTTCCTGTAACATAACAATTAGGCTAATGTGAACAGAAGTTTTTATATCAGCAGATATCATGAAAACGGATTTATGCAAAACAATATGCAGAAAGAGACTGAGGAGGAGAGTCAACGAAAATTAACAGTGGTCATGGCAGATTGTATTTTCCAAAAAACGGTCACAACAATATTTTCATTCCACATGCTGTTGAAGGACTTGGCCTTTTCCCCATTATAAGACATAATCTGTGTCCCTCCTCTTGAACCTGGAGGGCTTTGGGGACTCCTCTGACAAATAGAGTATCCCAGAAGAGGTGGTGCGTGATTTCTAAGAACTCACTAAAAAAAGTCAATGCAGCTTCCACTTGGTGCTCTCTCTCTCAGAACATACACCTCTGGGGCCCTGAGTTATCATGTAAAAGGTCCCACTACTCTGACGCCGTCATGCTGGAGAGGCCGTATGGACAGAACACATGGAGTTTAAGAGAGAAGCCCAAGGAGCCCCAGCTGTTCTGGCCTACAAATTTTTGTGTTCCCCGAACAGTCTTCTGACATATGAGTAGGTGAAGCTTCAGCTTATCCCAGTCCCAGCTCTGACTGCAAGCACATGAGACCTCAAGCAAAAACTGCCCAGCTGAGTCCAGTCAACTCCTAGGACTGTGAGAGATAACAGTAAAAGGATGGTTATTATGTTAAGCCCTACACTTTGAGGTGATTGGTTATACAGCAATATGTAACCAAACAGTTGTTTTGTTTCATAGGATAGAGCGATTTATATTACACCCGGTGTTGCTTTAACATTTTACAGTGAATGACATTTTAGGAAGAAAAAAAGTTTGGTTTTCTTTTTTATTTTTTATTTTAAGGAAAACAAATTGTCTTGCCTATTAAAACTATTAAACTCACATGGTGCCAGAATCTTCTCAGTTATATAAACATCGATTGAGCAGATCTGTAATTTTCTTTTTATTCTGGTTTCCTCTAGCCCATATCTGATATAATAAGAGCCATCGGGGTTAGATTCAAGTTGTTTAATTTAAGTCGGTTGCCATCTTTGCGTGCCTGTCCTGGTCCTTTATTATTTCCAGCTGGTAGGCTCCATAGGAGGCTATATCCATTCTAAGGTGTGGCTCCCACTGCAGTGAGTAATGGGGGAGCTTTACCAGGCTCTGAGTCTGGCCCTGGGACTAAAAGTATGAATAATTCACAGTCTACGGTGTCAATGCCATCAAAACCTAAAGAGAGAATCTGACATAAAAATACTTTTAAGTGATTTTTAAGACTGGATAAGCAAAGACAATATTTAGTCAATAATTAACGTCATTAGATTTAGAAAGCATAAAGATTTTGTGCAAAGCACAGTCAACTGAATTTTGTGTTACTCTTATTCTTCTGTGTTAACCATACTTGAGAAAAGCCAACTTGTAGTTTTGTGAATAAATTAACAGAAACCCCTACACTTACTAAGTGTAAGTAACACAAATGCAAGAGAAATGAATAGAAAAACAAACAAACAAAATCCATACATTAGAAGTATAACTTGTAAAACCTAATGTATAGTGTCGGCAACAAACAATCAGAACAAACAAGCAGAGATTCATGGACATGGACAATAGACTAGTGGTTACCAGAGGGCAGAGGGGGAGGGGGAAAGGGGGAGGTAGACGGAGTAAAAGGGGTCAAATATGTGGTGACAGAAAGAAATCTAATCATGGACGGTGAACACACAATGCAATATATATATATGCCTTACTGTTGAATTGTACACCTGAAACTTACTGGATTTCATTAACCAATGTCACCATAAAAAAAAAAAAGATGATTCATAGTATATGTCATCAGGGAAATGCAAATTAAAACAACAATAAGATACCACTACACACCTATTAAAATGTCCAAAATCCAGAACACTGACAACACCAAGTGCTGGCGAGGATGTGGAACAGGAATTCTCATTCGCTGCTGGTGGGAATGCAAAATGGAACAGCCACTTTCGAAGACAATTTGGAGGTTTCTTGAAAAACTATCCATACTCTTACCATAAAATCCAGTGATCATCTTCCTTGGTATTTACCCAAATGAGTTAGAAATTTATGTCCATACAAAAATCTGCACATGAATGTTTCAATAACATTCATACATTTATTCATTACATTTATTCATAATTGCCCAAACTGGAAGCAACCAAGATGTTTTTCATTAGATTAATAGGTAAATAAACTGCATACAATTATTCAGCACTAAAAAGAAATGAGCTATCAAGACATGAAAAGACATGGAGGAACTTTAAATACATATTATTACATGAAAGAAACCAATATGAAAAGGCTACATATTGTATGATTCCAACAATATGACATTCTGGTAAAGGAAAAACTATGGAGACAGCAAAAGGATCAGTAGTTGTCAGGGGTTTTGGAAGAGAGAGATGACTAGGCAGAGCACAGAGGATTTTTAGGGCAGTGAAAATATTCTGTATGACATTATAATGATGGATTTAATTTATTATACATTGATCTAAATCCATAGTATGTACAATACTAAGAGAAAACTCAAAGGTAAGCTATGAAATTAGAGTAATTATTTTATCTTTTTGAAAATTGTAATGGGAGCATGTTGATTCTACAAAACGACTCAGTCAAGACAGAAATATTAACTCTTTTAAGATGTGATATTTATGTTTCTCAATAAAATGTGCCAAAAGGTACACAGTTTCATTCAAAAATACATGACCTTTTTCTCCTATTCAGAATCTTAGAACAGTTATTCAAAATAAAAAGAAATAGTTATGGTTAGATTCAACTTTATATTTGATATCTCAGCTACTCAAATTATTTTTATTAAAAATTAGCAACACTTCATTTACCTCTGATGAATTTCCCACTGTGATAAGTGTGAGCCTATGTGGCACACGTCCACATGCCCTTGTTCATGGGCTTGTTTGTGCTCCTGTTTGACATGTTAATGTCATTAATAACATTTGACAAGCAGGTCTCCAAGTTTCTAATGCTTCCCCTTAGCCATCCTCATTCAGGTATTATACTTCTGAATATGTTTTCTTGTTACTAGACAAAGACTTTTGAAAAGACAAGGATGTCATCTCAGGAATTTAAATGCAGTGTGGGTCTGCATTTACAGTAAAAAGTAATTTACTGCATAGGGAAAGTTTGAGAGGAATTAAACAAGGTTATTGTGCATGATGAAAGATTAAAATCTCAATCCTAGAGAAAAAGTTGCCTTCTCAATCACCTTCTTGAATGCACTCTTGACCTCTTTGTTCCTCAGGCTGTAGACCAGGGGGTTCAGCGTAGGGATGACCATAGAATAGAACACAGCGGCTACTTTGTCTGTGTCCATGGAGTGGCTAGAGCTGGGCTGCAAATACATGAAGATGACTGTTCCATAGAAGATGGAGACCACAGTGAGGTGGGAAGCACAGGTGGACAGAGCCTTCTGGTGCCCCTTCGCTGAGTGCATCTTCAAGATGCTTACACATATTAAGAGATAGGAAATCAATATGATCAGAAGGGCAAAAAAGACATTAAAACTCGACATAAAAACAAGAACCACCTCGCTAATGTGCTTATTTGAGCAAGAGAGAGCCATGACCGCTGGAACATCACAGAAAAAATGATTGATCATGTTGGACTTACAAAAGAAAAGGCTGAATATGTCCCCGACATGGAAGATGGCATTCAGGAAACCACAGACATAGGAGCCTATGGCCAGACGTGCACACACATCTATAGTCATGGTAGTGGTGTAATGCAGAGGTTTGCACACTGCTGCGTAGCGGTCATAGGCCATTGATGCCAAGAGGTAATTTTCCACAGTGGCAAAGGCTACAAAAAAGAACATCTGAGCAGCACATGCATTGTAGGAGATGACTTTGTCACCTATAAGTAACCCGGCCATGACTTTGGGAGTGACAGCTGAGGAGTAACCAAAGTCCACCAGAGATAGGTTACTGAGAAAAAAGTACATGGGAGTATGGAGACGAGAGTCCAGCAGAATCAACACGATCATCCCCAGGTTCCCGACCACATTGATGAGGTAAATGAGAGTGAACATGATGAAGAGGGGGATCCGTAGTCCTGGGACACTGGTCAGTCCTAGGAGGATGAACTGTGTCACTTCTGTCCTGTTCTCCATCAGTGTTATTTGGGAATTATGAGATGTCCTGTAGCAGTGAAAAATCAAGAGAAAAAGTGACTCACAAAAAAGAAATTGTAGTGAAATTGAAATTTATAAATGCCATGTGCATTATTTCATTAATAATTTGTACTTCAGAATTATCTTGGTCTAATGTTACGAGCTTTACATATACGTGTGTGTGCACAATGAGTAATATTATTATTTTATTTTACCATTAAAATTTAAGGATTTTAGAAGTCATGTGATATTCTACAATTATATCACTAGTATGAAGAAGATTCAGGATGCAAGATTCAAACCCAGTTTCAACCTAATCAAATTCGGTGTGCTTTTAGCCACCTCTCCGTCAGCGTATTTAAAGGTGACAGTTATAACAAGGATAAGAGTATGGAGAAAAGATTAAACTACAGTTTGATCTTGCTAATTTATTTAGTTCCTTTTGTACTTTAAAGAATGGTCACTTTACACCTATGCTTTTTTGTAAACCTCCAGTAGGAGATCAACTGATGGTGAACAAGATGAAATTATCACCTACTTCCATCAGAGCATCATTGATTTCATTTTTTATTCATCTTCTTCAGGGAAGCAGCAGGATATTTCATAAGTATCACGAAACTCCCTACAAATGGAAATTTAGACATTTATACTCCAGCCCCAACTCACTATTTTAGAAAAATATGTTCAAAACATGTTTTTCTGCTTGAATAACTCGTAGTATGTGTCCCTTCCCTGTTGTTTTGGCATGAATTATGCTTTTCACTAATAGTGTATATGGAATATAGTAGCTTACCTTGCTCCTTGAAGAGAAGGGGCAGTCAGTCCTGAATAGTGAGTGCGAAATCAGAAATTCAGTCATAAAATAATGTGTAAATAAAACTATATTTTAGGTAGTTATCAAAAGGTTTCAAGTTCCCTAAGACAGGAAAAGATAGAGGAAAAAACGCTAACAAAGACCCACTAACCTAGGCTCCAAGTTTATGAAGCCACCATGAATTCTTGCTGTATCCTTAGAGAATCCACCATGAATTCTTGCTGTATCCTTAGAGAAACTCCTTACCTTTTCCTTTTGTTTTTCTTTAAAATAATATGAAATTACTTCTCCTACATAATTTACCGGATTGTGTTTGTAAATAGCAAATAAAGGGAGGTCTATAAAACAACTTGGTAAAGGGTGACCATTTTAAAATCACTCGATATAATTTTTATCTTGGGGTGATTTTCTTGGCCATGGTTCAATGTTAATTCACCTGAATTAACATTCAGATGAATATGTGATGATCGAAGGACTCAGCATGCAGTCTGGTCCCTCTAAAATGATGTCATGTGGAGTGTTAGTATTTCAGAGGCCAAGACAAGGGAACCAGGAGTGAATTATAGAGACACGGAGCTCTCAGGGAATGCGCCCCATGAGAGCACTCACAGCTCCTCATCCCTCCTTCTTAGGGAAGAAGCTATTAAATTGTTTAAGAGGACCCAGCTGCACATATTGAGTGTACATACATATTTTGATATTACTTGTTATTTCTCTCTTTTCATTTTTTAATGCATAATTTACAAACAGTAACATCCACACATTTGTGTGCGTAGTTCCAAGAATTAGGTCAAATGTGCTTGGTTATGTAACTACTGCTACAATCGAGATCCAGAAGACGAACATCACGTAAACAAACCCTGAGGTTCTTTGTGGTTCACTCTTTCTCCCACCTGCTGCACCTGGAAACCACTTAACTATTTTATGTGCATAACTGCCTTTACAGGAACATCCTGGACTGGGATTCTAGTGCATTTAGTCCACGAGTCTTGCTTCTTACACTCAGTATAATGCGTTTAAGATCCATCAATGTCGTTACCTTTACCAGTAATGGAATCTTCGTTTTTTTCTTTTTTTTTTTTAATATTATTCTATTTTATTGACATTATGGATTTCTTATCCATTCCTCAATTAAGGGACATTAGGGTGGTTCTAGCATTTGGTGATTTTGAATAAAGCTGGTCTAAAATGTACCTAAAGGGTTTTCTGTGAATATAGGCTTTGATTTCATTTGGGTAAATACCGGTGAGAAGGATTGCTTGGTCAGAAGGTAAATATGTGCTTCATTGAAAAAGAAATTGCCAAACCGTTTTCTGAATTCTATTATGTTGTCCCCACCGGTAACGCATACCAGTTGCTTCATATCTTTCCCAGCAGTTGGTATTTTAATGTTTAAAAAATATTTTAAATCTCGTTTCCTCTCCTGCTCTTTTGCAAAGATGTCTCAAAAAAAATCTCAGAAATATTTTTCTTAACCTCCGCATTTGCCTTACCGACACAGTTCTGGCCTAGGAGTGTTTTTCTCCAACAAAGGAACAGGATCCACTCTTTTATCTGTACACTTGCGTTTGAATTCACACTCCCAAGGAGACATCACACCTCACTAAATGCAGAAAGTTTTGTGGTTACAAATGCGTTCCATGCACTCAGATGGCTTAGCCCCAACTTCAAGTTTTCAACTCTTCAAAACTTCAACTCGTAAGGAGGGAGACTATACTATCATGTAATTTTCATAGGATTGATAAGAAAATGATCATATAACATATACACAAAACAGAGTGCAATTTTTAGCACACATCATATGTTCCATAAAATTACATGTTATGATTGATGAAAAATTGATATGGCGTTTTTCACAAGTGTATTGGTGCTCAAACATTCCATCTGCTTCCCC